AACCAGCATCTATCTGCTGCACGACATACGCCAAGGACCACGTGGGCATCTGGCATCAGCCCTTACATCCTTGACTGTCTTCACACCACTGCTGCACGTTCACCAAGTGGTCACTTTTTCACATTTGAGTCCACTATGGCCTGTGTATGTCTTGCACAGGTGTCAGCTTCCGAGATTCTTTTCATTACTGACCATAAAAGGTACAAATATCATCAGAACATATTTACGGATTTCTTGTTCTGAAAATTTAAATAAATGAACACATTTTCTGAATTATGGCTTTTGTAACTACATGCTTGCTTTATTGAAATGCTTACTTTCTGTTTTGCTATGAATTAAGTATAAAAATGCATTTCAATCTCGTTCCCATCTGCAAATGGCCCAATAATATCTACTATACAAACACAAACAATCTGTTATAAATAGTATGTTACATAAATTCCCAAAGCCCAACTTCCAAAATGCATGATAAGAATAAGGCAAGATGTACAAAGATGCCATACAAAGAAACTGCATTTGGGCCAATGCGGTCACTCTAAAAAAATGTGATACTTATTGATCAGCTACTGATATTTTTTAAAAATATGACACACTATTATTTACAAGTAACCTACAATGTAACAATAATTTTGCCTGAGATGAAAATTATTAAAAATTCTGTGTGGCAGCCAACATGTTAAACACTGCAGTTTAACTCTTACTGTAAAACTGTGCAATATTTTCAGGTATAAATAAACTTTGTACCCCAGAATATACTTGGACAGTCAGAGAACAAAACTCACGTTTAATTAAAAGATGAACGTGAGAAATGTGAACTGTAAATCCACACAGGTCAAGTGCATATGCTATAACACTGACTTATATTCATTATATATACCATGAGGGAGATTTACAATACCACACTGCTCATACAAACAGCTTCATGGAATTCATTCAGTTCAATATTAACCTTTTCCTTAATAATTCCCCAGTATTCACGCTCCAACGAGACTGTGTTGCGGCCTATATATTTGCAGGATACAGAGAAATACATGAACAGAGATTTGTGATGCCAGAAATCATTCACCACATAAAAACAAATGATTAAATACTAAAGCAGAAATGTTACACATTTTTTACCAGACAGAAGCATACAAAACATGGACTTAGCAGTCTGCTGGATAATTTTTTTGACGTACATACGTCTATACGGAAGGGTCATTCGGCAAAAAAGTGTAACGAAAATGTGTAAGATCCATATCAATAAATCGAATTGTTGTGTTATATTACTGCCGTCAACAATCTGCTTTTGTAACAAGATGGATTGAAGATAACATTACATTACAGAGACATAAATATAATTTGAATACAGAGACGTATTTACGTCAAATTATCCGGAACCGTGGTTCCACTGTCAATTTTTCTCCTAAGTAATGTTAATTTAGATTAAATAATTTATCTGAAAAAATTAATACTTTTTTTAGTCAAACACATTACTTTTAAACAACTTTTTCAATACAACAATGAACATGAACAGCACCATACTCATTTGATACTTAAAAGTAAATCAAAAACGTTCAAGCAGGGCCACTACAGAGATAGGATGTGATACGGCACGATCTGTATACAAATTGTAAACATTAAATATTTTGCAAGACATGCCTATAGTCAACAGCGCTGATTTTGAAGAACGTGGCAAGGAAAATTATAGTACCATTACAGTCACGCAGAGATTTTGTCAATACTAGTATAAATTAGTATGAATTTCGCACAACACTCACATCGTTTTCGTCACAGGTTAAAATGACACAATCCGACCGCATCACAGGAATTTTCCTCCAACCTATTAAATTTCTGTAATAGCAGAAGTTCGGAAAAAAATAAAATGTCACGTAAGCATGACAGACGAGCGTAACAAGCAAGTGTTCTGGTGGGCTGCAAATTGATGTGCACAGTAAATACATAAAACAGAAGATTAAAAACAAATCCCTGAATGACAATCTAAAGGCAGTTCCAGCAGCAGAGAAGACTGCACATATATAGAATAGAAAATAATTTACGCAGTCACCAAGTGCAATGAAAATTTCAGCACAGAGTATAAATTGTAGTGGACAAAATGTTCCCAAAATTAACACATCAACACAGTCCAGTGATACAGTTTTTCCTAGGGCAATGAAGGTTAATATTTCCATTTCACCGTACTAAAGCCCTTAAAGACCACAAATTTCATTTATGGCTTCATCACAAATGACTTCAGGGTCCTTTAGGTCATAAACAAAACACCTGACATACAAAACAAAATGCCATGTGCCCAATAAAGATTAAAAGACAGATGACAAAAGGTCATGAAATATACTGATCATGGTGAACAGGACTATTGCACTCGTGTTCTAGTATGGGAGACGACCAGCAAAGAGGACAAGAGAGAATAAATAATGGAATAAAAATGGAAACTGCGGTCTGAAATGCAAATTATACACTTATTTACAGTAATTTTTATGAATGATAAAAAATGCTCTTGAATAATCATGGACTTTCTCTCCCTCTTAACCAGTTATATTTGCAAGAATGTAAAAAGTGCATTTGTCAAACGGAAAACTTGTGTCATTCAGACTATTAACAGATACAAAAACCATGGTAACCACAGCTTCAGAAACAGCGTCAATCGATTTTCTAACTCTGAAACTTTGTAAACGGTTTCTTCCACTTTACCGAAACTTTCATTTCTGTGACATGAGCCCTTTTCATGCTCACATACTTAAAAGGAAAATCAAGTCTTTAAAATATTCTAAAATTCTCAAACATGTTAACTTGTCCACAAACGAATATTCATCAATTTATTTGCAATGGACAAAACTTAATACTCATCTGCACAAGTGGCAGTGGGAAGTGAGCAAAAAACTGTTTGCAAGAAATACCAGTCCCAACCACGTTGTTTAACTACATTTTAAGTTCATTTGTACGTTCATCTTACAAACTTCTTAAATAAAGAGTCATGGAAGAGTGAATCAGATGGAATTTTTTCAGTGTACAAATTATGATGTCTGAATGCAAAGATAAACAGCATTTTAAGAAAAACAAAAATTAATAATTTTATCACTGTAACAGTTCAAATACAAACATATTTTGCTAGATTACAGCATCGTCATTAAAAGCTTTGTTCCCGCATTTAAAATTACTGCCAATTGCAATCACCTAATCTGTTTATTACAGGTTACAAAAAGTCACGCAATTTGCTGAAGACAGTAGTAACAGTAGAAAATAGGAAAATTTGGAAATTTATGTGAAGACTTTACTTAAAATTACAGTGTATATATAACTGATGTAAACCGTACATCATATCACTTATCTTTTACACACATTCTCAACCCATATGGTCCATACAAATGCATTCAGATGGACAGGATTGCGATAAAACATTAAACCGAATTTGTTCCGAGCTTCTCTTGACGCAATGTTACATACTACTATGAAAACAAGGAAACAAAACATCATTTTGAAGGTAAAGTCAAATCAAAAACAAAATTACCCTCTGAACAGACTAATAATGCAACTACTTTCATACGTAAAGTAATGCTTTAATACCACTGTATATAGAGACATTACCTGTTTACTGATCCCACCTACCAAAATACATACAAAAGATGGCGCCATGTGTTTAAGCAGGATATTTTTATGCATGCTCCCAAATAAGGTTGATTTTCACTTGCAGAGAAAGTATATATCCCAAGAAGGACCTGACATAAGGGCAATTTGTTTTTATGGAGGAACACATTTTAAGATAAATATTCTTATCATCTCAATAGGTTTATGGTGAATATGAAAATAAAGGAAAACCTCGTACCTGATCAATATTCTCGCACACAACATGAAATATTTGAAAATGTAATTAAAAAAGCATTTTAAAATCATTAGTAGGGAAAATGCGTAAGCAGTCTGCAAAACTTCAGACCTCATTCTTCTTCCCACAGGACTCTTTTTGTCCTTCTTCTGTTCTTCCCCCCCCCCCCCCCT